TATTATTTCTTTCATACGAGTGAAGTGCATTTGTCACTCACCCCCGCCACCACTCGTTCCGTGACAACAGGGAAAAATAAACAATTGTGCAATTAAGAATCAGCGCTTAAAAGCAGATTCCGGCATCTTCTTCAGAGTGCCTGAAGAGGGAATCTTCTAGCTTGTTAGGCCCTGTCTCTCTTGCTATCTGCATGCAACTTTGCAGCTTCTGAGTTGAGTGTAAGTGCTGTCAATTCCTTCCCCCAACTCTGCAGCAAGTCCTTTAGGTTCTCCCACTTTGGGCACTGAATAAGACACTCACTAAAACACAAAAGTTTTTGTGTAAAAACATGAAAGGCTCCTCTTAACACTTTTTTTCATCACCATTGTATAAAATGAAGGATTCAATAAAATACAAGAACTAACCTGAAGTATCTGATTGCTGTTAACAGCATGAGGAAATAAAAATTTCTTGACTCCTCTCATCCTCTGCAAGCATTTCCTTGTTGCTGCCATTGCCCTCCAGAACTGTCCATGCTTTCCCCATATTAAGAGAGCGGCGGCCAGTGCTAATCCATGTTGTGCCTCTCAGCTTCAGTGCCTCTCCTGTATGGGGCCTAATTTTTCATGCCAGCAAATTTCATGCCTTGTTTTTTTTTCTGTCTCCTTTGACATTTTGGGGAAAGGAGATATATATATACATATTTAATTTCTGTGGAGTTTTGGGTATTTGCAGTGGTGCTCTTCCCTCATACTTTTTGCATGAAGGAGAATATCTGACCTAAAGATGCTTCAGAAGTTGGTGGTTTGTCCCTTCTTCACATAAGCAGGATTGCTGTGAGAAGTTTGAAATTGTTCTCAAAGTTATAGAGCAAATTCTGCCTTCATTTGGTTCCCAGGGCCTGCAACCAGTTTTTCAACCATCTTCAATTTTCTGCCATAAATATTTTAGGAATAACATCTGATTTTTTCCTTGTCTTGCAGTTCTGCTCAAAAATCTTTTGGCCTCTAGAATGAGAATCACTTCTGTGATCTTTAATGTGCAAGAACTTAATTTTATTATATATAAATTCTTAGTATTTTTACAGTATTTCATAAGTTCAAGATACAATTTTAATCATTTCTAAGTGCTGCTGTTTAACTGCTCAGCATTTCTGAGAGGTTAAATACGTCATGCTGGACAATTTACTTGAAAGTAGAAAGGGTCTACAGAGAGATCTGAACTGGATCCCTTTGGATCCAGGCTCAGTCAATGAGTTGGGGCCAACCATATGAGGTTCGGCACGGCCAAGGGCTGGGACCTGCACTGTGGTCACAACAACCCTATGCAGCTCTACAGGCTTGGGCAGATTGTCTGGAGAGCTGCGTGGCAGAAAAGGATCTGAAGGTGCTGGCCTACAGCAGCTGAACACGAGGCAGCAGTGTGCCCGGGTGGGCACACTGACTTGTATCAGGAACAGTGCAGCCAGCAGAACCAGGGAAGACATCATTCCTCTGTACTTGGCACTGGTGAGGCTGTACCTCAATTATTGTGTTCAGTTTTGGACTCCTCACTACAAGACAGACATTGAGGTTCTGGAACGTGTTAAAAGAAGGGCAGCAAAGCTGGTGAAGGAGTTGGAGTACAGACCTTATGAGGAGCAACTGAGGGAGCTGGGGTTGCTTAGTCTGGAGGAGACTCAGGGGGGACCTTATTGCTCTCTTCAACTACATAGAAGGAGTTTCTAGTGAGGCAAGAGTCAATCACTTCTCCAGCATAACTACTGATAGGACAAGAGGAAATGACCTCAAGTTGCACCAGGGGAGGTTCAAGATAGACATTAGGAAGAATTTCTACCTGGAAGGGCTGGTCAAGCATAGGAATAGACTGCCTAGGGAAGTGGTTGAGTCATTGTCCCTGGCAGTGTTCAAGAAATGGGTAGATGAGGACATGGTTTAACAGGCATGATATTGAAGAGCTTACGGTTAGATTTGATGATCTTGAAGGTCTTTTCCAGCCATAATGATTCTATGATTCTATCATCAGAAAATAGATTACATGTAGTTGATGAATGACTATGGCAATGTTAGCTTTAGAGGCTTGTCCAGTAAGAGTAAAAGGAACGTTGCGCTCAAGACGGAGATACATTTTTCTTTAAAACAGAAGCTATTTCAGCTTTGTAACTATAAATTCATACTTTCTGTACTTATCTACTTATTGACTACACATCTCTCATTTATTCAGCCAATGAGCCAGTAGACMCAGCTCAATTATTTACAAACCGATGATTATTTCTTTATCATCAAGGAAAGTGTCCTGCAGAAGTCAAGGGTTGAATGGGGAAAGTAGCAGGCAATTATGTAGTCAGGCCATTTGTATGAAGGGCAGGAAATTAAGGTTGAGTAACTTTAAACCAGTATTTCCTTGCTTATAATGTCTTGACGCTTTTAAATTTTACCTTATTTTAAATTGTTTTTAATATTTATTTTTATTTTTAATATGAATTTTGGGTAACTCCACAGTAATTTCTGTCATGATAAAAATATACCGATCTTAATTATACTGTGGATCATCTCTAGGTTTTGTTTTCTAGGGCTAAATGACGCATCTATCACAGGTGAATGGTGTTACTGAGAAAAATCATCATTATTACCCCTTAGTTAGAAAAGAGATACGCAAAGGACTTAAATAGGTCTCACATTGTTTACTGACAGAGAAATATGGGTGTCTGCCTAGTSAGCTCAATGTAATGTCTTATATGTAGAGAACAGCAAAGTAATGGTGCTGCCATAGCCACTACCCAACCTTTCTATGATGTGCAATGAAAGTGTTAGGAGGTTCTGTGCTGTCATTGCTTCTGTTCAGCACAATGAAGAAATGACCTGAAAAGTAAACATGTAGGAATATGTAAAGTTATTTCATGCTGYTAGGATGAGGACAGAATATAAAGGCTATGGGGCATAGGTGGAGGATTAATGAAACTGAATAACTTGTTAACAAAATGGCAGGAAAAAACATGAGCAAGGTAAGTATAAAGTGATGCAGGACATGGACAACAACGTAGTTCAAACTGTTGGGTGAGAAGACAATGTGTCCTGTGGGGGGCAGCGTTGGTCCACAGCAACCTGGATGCTAGCTATGCCTTGGAGCTGCACCCTTATGGGTAATTTATGTGGCGTGGGCTTCTACAGACGAAAGGGAAAGGTGGCAGCTGGGGACTCAGGGTACTTTGCAAAGGTTTTTGCAAAGCAAGGAAGGCCAATGGGATCCTGGCTGCACCAGGAGGAATGTTGCCAGCAGGTCAAGGGAGAGTATCTTGCCCCTCTACTCAGCTCTGGCGAGGCTGCACCTGGAGTATTGTGTGCAGTACTGGGCTCCCCGGTATAAGAGGGTCCAGCGAAGGGCAACAAAGATGATTAAGGGACTGGCGCGTCTACTATAGAAAGAGACTGAGTGAGTTGGACCTGTTTTCCCTGGAAAAAGAGAAGGTTGAGAGGGGATCTCATCAATATGTACAAATACCTCAAGGGTGAATATAAGGAGGAAGGGGCCAAGCTCTTCTCAGTGGTGGACAGCAATAAGACAAGGGGCAGTGCATACAAGTTGAAACACAGGAAGTTCCATCTACATGTGAGGAAGAACCTCTTCACTGTGAGGGTGACAGAGCCCTGGCACAGGCTGCCCAGAGAGGTTGTGGAGTCTCCTTCTCTGGAGATCTTTAAAACCCTCTTGGATACAGCCCTGTGCCACGTGCTCTAGGTGACCCTGCGTGTGCAGGGGGATTGGACTAGATGAGCTCTGAGGTCCCTTCCAACCTTAGGCATTCTATGCTTGATCTGTCACCATAAGGCTTCTCTCTATGATCCTACAGCATTTTCAGAGAAAGTGTGTGAAGATTTTAAAGACCAAAATCAGCAAAGGTCCCAACTTCTCCCACCACGAAAAGTTTCAAAATGGCAAGGCTGAGCAAGTAACAGTGTTTCCATTAATTCATTCTCATCCAGACACACTCTCTAAAATATGACTTTTGGCTYTTYCYTKGKCMAAGTGAMAAAAGAGAGCTTAAATGCCAACATGTTTTGATAAACCTGGTCTCCTATGGCATATAAGGGGATACTACCCTTACTTGCATCTACTGCAGAATCTGAGAGATGCTGTGTTGAAAATCTGCAACTCTGAGGAAAAAAGCTGAAGTGAAGTGAACTGGAATGTGTGGTGGGAGCAGGACATATTTGAAAATATTCTTTGTATTTTCATTATAAAATTTATCTCAATGAAAACTGAAATGGCATTGCTAAAGAGATTTAAGGAGAAAGAGTGCTCCTGAGACAGGAGATAAAGTCAAACCAATACCTCTGAAGTCTGAATAGACTATTTTTTATTTCAGTGATAAATATTTTCTTTTAGTTATAGAAAGACTTGACACCTAGAAAACACGGAAAAGCACTTGGTATGAGCACACACATATGATTTACTGACAAAGCTCATTCCCTACTCCTGACTGAGAGCAGATTTGACCACTCTGATCTACTACTTTGTAATGTGTACTTGTACTTTGATGTACTTGTAGTCTTTGAACCTACTGTATCATATTAGTTGAAGGTCAGATCCAACAGAAGTTAACCAAAATTTCATCAATAAAGATTCTCAGCAAAAACTAGAACTCTTTATTCATTTCTGTTCCTCTCCAATATACCTCAGTGATGCTATTGATATAAAAAGGAAGAGCAAAGAATACAATACACATTTAAATTTTGATAAATCTCTTTCTTGACTGTTTTCCCTTTTTTTTTTTTTTCCCGGAAGAATTGTTTATGTGTTCTCCAATCTCTGTCTGAGTTAAAGATAACCAAGTGCTGAAAGAAAGCCAACCAGCACTGTGTCAGCTGGTACACTGCTTGGTTCAAAAGGAAACGTGATTGCTCAAACATCCGGGACTCATTCCTGTCTCCTGAAGTGGGAAGTGACAGAGCTCACCTCGGGCAGCACAAGAGCGGCACACAGAAGGTAAACACTTCTGAAATTGTTAGAGCTGTGACATAAATGATACTATGACCCCTTTTCAGGAAAAYAGGGATAATTGCATACAGACCTTTGATGTGAAATAATCTGAAATGTTCTGCGAGAAAGAGGTTGAGAGGACAAAGAGATAAGACTGCTGTAGACTCCTAGGCTGGCAGAAGAGGCTGGGGTCCTTCATTGCTGTTACAAAAATCGGAGCATTAGATGGGAAGTATTGCTCAGTTCTCTCTTAGTCAGCAAGGAAATAGGAGTCACAGTTGTGCAAGAGAGAGAGTGAAGCAGAGCAAAAGTGTGTGGTGTGTGTGGATTCAGGAGTACACCTGAGGACACAGGGCTTGGGAGGAAGGAGTTCTTGAGATGAAAAGGAAGGGCATATCCTAATCTCCCAGCTCAAGTTGACACACAGAGACGCAGTCTTCCTTGTCTCTGCCTTTTCTGAGAGCTTAATTGTGCAGCAATTCTTTATCCCAGCTCTACTGTAAGACAGAGATACATAGAAAGTAAGGTTTAAAATCAAACTGCTCTATGTGGCCATTGCACTGATCTCTGGAAGRGCAGCCATGCAGGATGTGGTGGCCACGCTGGACAAGGTGAAGAGRCCTGGGAACCACAGCCCCTAACCCTATGCCTGCCCCAGCTGCCCTTACTCAACTAACATGGCTCCTGCCCTGAGAAAGGAAATAAAGCACAGGTCAGGAATCTCATGGTAATTCCAGGTGGGAAATAGAAACACTGAGGTGTCTGCTTCCTCAGGATTTTGGCTGTGTCACTGAATTTGCACATCACTGAGAGGATGATTTTTGTTGATGATGATTAATGACACTAAGTAAGAGTGTTGAGAAGAAAAATTAAATTGAGTCCCCCTCATAAACCAGAGGTTTAGATGTGAACTCAATCTGGGGTCACCTTGTCTGTGACGACCTCTTGGCCTCAGGGTCCACAGCAGCCTTATCCATATGTTCTTTCATGGCCGTGTGTCTGCCCATGACAGAGGCCCCTGATGCCTGCTTTGACTGAGCCACCTATGAGACCCCTTTCCAATCCATCCTGGTGCCTGCTCGTGGGGGGAACTTCCTGTTCCCTTTCCGGCATGTCTGCAGGCTCAACTACTTCCAAGTCAGAAGCATCAAGATGGAGGAAGTCCCAGGTGGGCTCAGCAAATCCCACCTCAGTGATGTGGGATTTGATGTGTCCCACCTGGGTACTCAGGGTCTCCTGGGTTGAGTTGTGAGCTGGGGAAGCCCATGGCAGATGGAGTGATGGAGACAGCACGTCTCTCCTCTCC